GATGATAAGAGAAAAAGATCACCGCTATCACCCCACCAGGCTCATGTACAGATGTGTTTTCATGCAGGTATATAGTCAGCTGCCTGTGGAGAAGCTGTCTGGGTACTCCTATGATGTTGAGGACTCAGAGCCATATCCCTGCTACCCCTTGCCAGTGCCAGATATGGTAATAGATGCAGATTTGGAGACAGCAGCACCGCCAACAGCACCACCAGCACCGGCCATTGTGAGCGACAATCTGGGAGCACGGCGAGAAACGCGCTCGATCTACTATGGACCAGGCAGTCAGAAGAATGACGTCTACAGCATCTTTAAAGTAAAACATTTGTTCATCTAATCTGATGTCTGACTGAAACTACACAGTAATGTCTCCTATTAGCTGCAGAAGACATGATTCAAGATTCAAAGCGTTTGTTGTGATGTGTACAAAGAAAAGCATTTCTCTGTACGATGAAATACGTTCTCTGCTGTCCACACATGGATGCCGGATAATATGTACAAATAGAACTAGAACAGATAAATACAAATAGTATGAATAAATAAATGGAGACAAAAAATTGAAGTATTAAATAGATTTGTGTGCAAAAGAACTATGAGCTTAATATGCTGGTTTGATATGTGAGATGTGCAAAAATGATTATTACTGTTAGAATAGGTCAGCGGTTCAGGAGTCTGATAGCAGTGGGGAAGAAGGAGTTGTTGAGTCGAGATGTTCTGGATTTCACACTTCTGAACCTCCGCCCTGAGGGCAGAAGTGTAACCGGTCCGTGTTGGAAGTGTGTGGGGTCTTTGAGGATGGAGGCAGCTCTCCTCTGGACTCTGTGATGGTAGATGCTCTGCAGAGAGGGCAGCGGGGTCCTGGTGATCTTTGCAGTTATTATCACTCTCTGCAGGCGTTTGCGGTCCATAGCAGTAGTGCTGCCGTATCCAGGTGAGGTCCTCACTGATGTAGACGCCCAGGTATCTAAAGCTGCTCGCCCTCTCCACACCAATCGCTGCAGTATCGTCCGCAAACTTCAGTATGGTGTTATCCCTATTGGAGACGTACAGGGTGTAGAGGATGGGACTGAGGACACAACCCTGTGGAACGCCAGTGTTTGTAATAATGCTGGTCCTGTTGCCGATCCTGACCGACTCGGGCCTACCAGTCAAAAAGTCCTGT